TTGATAATAGTGCATTTATTGTCGAATGAATGGCATTTTTTTCCCCATTAAAACTTACATGGCAAAAAAAATTTACATGGCTAAGGATTTCTGATGTAATTTTTTATAAAAGATTTTAAAATTGCCATTATCACACTGATTATTGTATAAATAGCTGGTGTCTATATAAACTGGTTCTTGTAACCCATATAAAATTGTAAATTGTGTGAACCAGTGCTACCATTCCACTAAGACATATTGATAAAGTTTTAAAAGCGTAATATTTCTAGAATTCTTCACATAATTTAATTGATTATTGATAATAATATAATCATATTTTATGATATTATTAATAAACTTTGGACTAATACAGTACTGGGCAATGAATAATTCTATATTAATATTTTTGAGAAACTGGAGTTCAAAATTTAAAGGAATTGTAGTCAAAAAATAATACTAGTATATATCATGGACTGAATCTAAATTAAAGATTTAATATATATCATTCATACTTGCCTATATCTGATGTACATACACACAGACACACACACATGTAGTTTTGAACAATGGAATAAAGAGCCAAGAGGATTTTAGATAAAGCGTTAAAATTGTGTTCTTGTCTGTACTATCCCTTTCATTTAGCATATGAAATTCTCCCTAATTTTATTACCCTCCCTAATCTCTTCCTGAGGCTAGAATGGAAGGGATTCTTTTCAGTTTGTGGATACTGTGCTAAGGTCATACTAACAGAGGATACTCTGGACAAATACCATGTAAAATAAATGCTCATATTTGGGCTAAGAATTAGGAAGAGTAAGTATAGCCCTCACCCAATTCCCATGAGTCTACACCTATGTATACTCGTCAGACTGTAGAACATGCTGCTTCTTCCTAAAACCAAAATGCAAAAGGAAAGAAATCTATTGCTGACATTATCTTATCAAATTTTTGGATAAGACTGAATTACTGTACTAGCCAGAGTGGGCTAGGTTGTGCAAACATGTCCCTCTTCCTCCCCCAATCGCAATGGTTTAACCCACAGAAACTTCTCCCTCTATCTAGTTTCTGACGTAAATGAGCCAACAAAGCTCTGCTCATCAAAGTCACTTAGAGACTCAAGCTTCTACAGCCACTCCAGAGGAAGAGTGTCTTTTTCTTTGCAAATAATGAGTGTTAATATAGGTTGGGGTTTTCTCCCCCAGATTAAAAAAATGTTCACATTTAATTGTATTTACATTAAGAGTGAACAGAAGCGCTTCCATGGCCAAAGGCTACAGTGTATGAGCAAGGGTCACAAAAGGTTCCCATCCCACGGCTGGAGGGGCCTTGTTTATTGACTATGAGTGAGCTGGTTATTCGCCTGTCGCTCTGAGTAACACTTCTCTACCCTGGTCTGAGTTGAGATTCTGAAACCAAATCTTTCTTTTGTTAACTGGTTCCCTGCTGTACGTTGTCAGCAGGGGCACTAGAGGGAGACTGGGGGCTGGAGGAGGGGGGCAGGATGTAGCCCTTCCTGTTTGTATTCTGTTCCTGTGACAGCTGCCGTGGCACTGCATGGCTGGGGCAAGGGCCACGGTTCTCAGTGGCAGCACTTGGTTCCAGTTTGCAGTTTTTCCTACTCCTAGTAACAGCTTTCTTAGGCCTCTTGAGAGATAGCAGCGCCAGAATTCAGAAATCTGGGTCTTAGACCCATAGGGCCCTCCTTTGAGTCAGTAAAGAAGATATACACATTCTCAATGGTTAAAAAAAAGTTCCACATCACATATATTCTAGCTAGGTTAGAACGGATATGTGATTTACCAATCCATATTAAGAAGGAAACTGCACCTGGCCCCATCATGAAGACTGGGACCTATTGACACCGGCCAGTGACAATAAGGAGGAGGAGGAAGAGGACGAAGGAAAAAAACCCCAGAATAATATTTACACAGGCTTTCATAATAGTACTGGAAATAATGTTTGACAAATAAATACAAAAAAGATGCACAGTACCTTAAAAATGAGCTTTCCTGGTGCTGAAGTCGCCAAAGGAAAAAGCGTGAGAATGGAACTTTCAACTGAGCCTCAATAAAATGAAAAGAGAGCCTAGGTTGCGAGTCCCAAGACTATTTAATGAGAAGCCGTAAAAGATGACGGCTGGTTGGGAGACGCAGTTTGAGATTTCAAAATACTGAATGGGTCACTGAACTCCTCAGAAAAACAACGGATAAAAGATGAGAGAGCATTTTACTTTGTTTCCTTCAAGTACACGAAGCCATCAGGCAGGTGGAGAAAGACTGCCCCCTGGTGGGCGCACTCAGGGCACCTCCAGTTAGGCAGTGTGCAGCCGCAGGCGCCTTCCTGTGATGTTCAAGTCTAGCTAGAAAGCCTTCTCCGGCTATTTAATTAAAAGCTCCCCAAAGAGAAACAGAGGACTGAGAACCAGAGGAAAGAAACAGAAAACCAGGAGTGGGATGGCAGATCGAAATGCTAAACTATCAATAATCACCTTAGATATAAATCATCTCAACACCGCTGCCCAAAAGACAGAGACAGAGTGAAGAAAACACCACAGTCCAAGTAAATGCTGCTCACGAAACTCACTTCATAGCTCGGAATTAGGGAAGTGGAAAGAAAAGGGGTGGGGAAAGTTACCTCATAGAAACATGAATTTTTTTAAAAGCAGGAGTGGCCATATTAATTTTTGATTCAAGTAGACTTCAGAGCAAACACAATAGAGAGACAAAGAGTGACATTATAATAATGACAAAAGCATCAGTCCACCCAGAAGACTTAGTGCTCCTATATAAACACGCAACAAACAACAGAGCCTCAAAGGACGCGGAGCAAAAACTAATGAAAAAAAAAGTTCCTCTTATGAAAGAAAAATACCATATGAGATCGCTCCTATGTGGAATCTAAAATAAAAAAAAAAACACAAGCAAACAAAACATAAATACAAAAAGAAACAGGCTCATAGACATAGAATACAAACTTGTGGTTGCCAAGGGGGCGGTGGGGGGGAAGGGACAGATTGGGATTTCAAAATGTAGAATAGGTAAACAAGATTATACTGTAATAGGGAAAGAGCTTACGGTAGCTCACAGAGAAAAAAAGTGACAATGAATATATATATGTTCATGTATAACTGAAAAATTGTGCTCTACACTGGAATTTGACACAACATTGTAAAATGATTATAAATCAATAAAAAAAGTTTAAAAAATTCCTCTTAAGTCTTCCAGGAATTTGACCCTTAACACAAAGGAGGCAAAGACACAAAAGATTAGCATGTGCTGCACTAATCATTTAGGTGTGGAAGACAGACGTGATAAGAAGAGGGCTTTGTTGAGTGATTTGTGCTAATCTGACTCATCCTTCTAAAAATCATGTAGGTTCCTCTCTGAGTCAGAAAATTTCAAAACCTCTCTGTCTGCTTTTCCTCCCTGTGGGCCAAACGAATAAAACAAACAGTGGGCCTGGCAGATTTCAGTCCAAGCACGGTTGGAAGCCTGGTTTCGGATATTATTTGTAGAACAAAGGATAGAAGAAACTTTAGTAAAATCTTAACTACATGTTCTCTGCAGGGTGTAAGAGTGGGATTTAAATTTCTTCATTATTAACTATATTTTATAAATTGCTGCATTCAACAGTTTTAAGTTAAAACTGTAGGTTAACTTTAGAAGTTTTTTGGTTTTGTTTTTATTTTTTTTCTTAATTTGTAGGCACGATAACACCTTCCCCTCTTTCCCTAAGGGAGACACTGGGGATTGAACCTAGGACCTTGTACACGCCAAGCATGGTCTGCCCCTGAGCTATACCTCAACTCCCATGATAGCACCTTGAACAGTAATCAGCTTGGGTATAAAATTCCAGAGTCAGAAGTTTTTCCCACACGTCATCCCACTGTCTCTCACTGTTTGTTACTCAGAGAAGAAATCTGAGTTTTGTCCAATTCAACTCTTTTGAAGGAATCAAGTTTTTTCTTTTCTTTTTCTTTTTTTTTCCCTGTTTGTTTAGCAGCAGGAATTTTTATTTAAAGTAAAATTTTTTCACTGGGAAATTCCAACTCTTGGTTTCACTGCATGAATTTTTCCTTGCCCATGTTGAATTCTCTCCACCTCCAATTTCAGATTTCTTTTCAGGTCTGGAAAGTGCTATTTTTTAAATATACATTTTTACCCATGTTTATGACCCACCGTTCCACGCTACACTTCAGCATCCCTCAGCCGTAGATTAGTTGTAGGTAGGTTTCTATTACTTGCCCTCCAGTAGACTTCTAAGCGCTTTAAAATGCCCTTGTTCATTTCACATTTGGGAGTATCTCTGAAGTGAACCTTCTGTTACTGACTTGACTTTTCACACTCATATGTGCTTTTTAATTGCTTCTAGCATGGAACCTGTTAGATTTGTCTCTTCCCCCCTTACTGTCTTGTTCTACATCATCCTGTGTCCTTTCTTTCATAGTCTGTTCTTGTTCAGTGGTGACAATGTCCTCTCAAATCATTTCCGGGGCTTCCTGCCCTTCTGTGAGCTCCCGGCCATGTCTGTGACAGGACACAGGGTGTGGGCCGTGCTGGTGGTGAAGAGGGGCTGGGTCTCGGGTCAGAAGAAGCCCAGGGAAGCAGGCTGGGGTGAGGAGGGACAGAGAGGTGGGGCAGAGAGACGTGCGTGTTGGGTAATTCCCATAGGGACCACACCGAGCTCTCACAAGAACCCTAGGAGCATGGTATTTTTATCCCAACCTGGCCCTCTGTCATCGCCTCTGGAGAGCCAGGCGGGCTTCTCCTCCCTGGATCATATTAACACCTTATTTTGTTTACACAAAAGTATCTCACTAAAATGTTGTGAGGTTGGTTGAAAAGCTAACTGTCATTGTCTCCAGAGAGCAGGAAGCTGGGGTTTGGAGCAGCTGCGTGGAGACGTGAGCCCTGTCTTGGTTTCCTGTGTCGTCTCTGACGTCCAGAGCCAAGACAACCAGTGATGAAACACAGCATCAGGCTCGGCACCTCCCAGCAATGGCCCAACATCCTGTTGTGCAACTTTCTGGAGCCTCTAGGTTAGAGTGTCCCCTGTAGCAGTCCCAGGAGCCCCAGGGTGGTTGGCGTGAGTGCCCATGAAGGATGAGGAAGACCAGGCTCCGGGGGCTCCTCTGGGTGCTCTTCGTCGCAGGTAAGACAGTGAGGCCTCTGCCCAGGACCTGGAGCTGGAGTGGGGTCCCATCCCAAGGGAGGTTTCCATTTTCTTCTGAAGCTCTGGGGGATGTGGTCACCCAAGACAGAGCCACCCAGAAGAGATGCCAGACTGGGCAGAATTAAGAGAACTCCCAGGGCTTGAGAACAGAACTAAAAAGGGGGAAGGGAAGGAAACAAGATGTCTGTGCCTTTGATGTTGTCAGGGACTTGCAGAACCTGGGGCTGGGGGGTGGGAATAAGGAGAGAGTAAATCTCAACTTGACATAACCTAAGAGGATTTTATGAGTTTGAAGGATTTTTTCCCTCTCATATTCCATCATGGTGCTTTGGACGCTGACAGTCTATTAAACCCCAAAGACATAGCTCATTCAACAAATATTTCCCAGGGGCCAACCTTGGGCCAGGAAATATGCTGTTGCCGAGGACACAGAAGTGAACAGAAGAAAAGTGCCCATTTTCATGGAGGCCGTGACCCAAGGCTCCCCTGTCTGCTGCCCTTGAGGGCCTGTTGCTCAGGCTCTGCGGAACTGCCCCGGCTCCAAGCCATGACTTCTCCTACTGCGCAGCTCACACCTTCCCCCAAAATGGATGCTGCTGGTGCTTTACTTGCTCCTGCTCCCAATCCTTAGGGATACATTGGGAAAATAAGCAGAGAAAGGGAAAATGTCAACAGTGAGTTAAGAGAAAGGTTTGCCTTGGAAAAACATGGAAAGGTCCAGGGAGAGGGTGTTTTCTGGGAACCTACTGCTTTGAGCAAGGTCACGGACAATCGCCTGGCATAGCCCACACACCAATGTCACTCTGGGTTTTCTTGGACTTGGGGTGATGATCCAGATGGGCACATGGGGGTTTGGCTCTCATGGACCCATGCACTTCCTTGTGTCCTATTCATGTTTTTCCAAAGGAGAACTGGGAGAAGGTGGAAGGTTGAAGACTGAGAGAAAACGAGCGGTTTGGGGTTGTTTTTCACTATGTCTTCTGGAGGTAAACTAGAGGGTAACCTGTGCCACCGGGAACAGATTGTTAGGCACTTCCTCACACTTGGGCTGTCCCACCAGACAGCTGCCTTGGACAAGCTAGCTCAGAGGCTCAGAGCTGACCCTAGGGTCAGACTACCCAGGTTTGAGTCTTGACTCCCACTTTCTACTGTGGGACCTTGGGCAGATCACTGGATAACCTCTGGGTTATTAAATAACCTTTCTGTGCCCCAATTTCCTTATCTCTACACTAGGAATAATAACAGTATCAACCTTCTAAGTTGTAATGATTAAATGAGATAGGATTTTTAAACACTTAGCAATAAAAGGTATTTGTTGCTCTTTTTTTATTAGCATATGATAAGGAATCCCTTCCTTGCAATGGTGCAAAATATGATGCATAGAAGGCACTTCTGCCTTCATCTCTCACTGTCTCCTTTCATAAGAGACAGGCAGGTTTGTAAGCAATCGCAGTCTCCTTCAACTCCTACTGTCTTATGCATCCGCGCAGCTGTAACAAAACTCCGCAGACTGGGTGGCTTATGAATGACAGAAATTTACTTCTTCCAGTTTTGGAGGCTGCATGTTCAAGGTCAGGGTACCCTTATCTCAAAAACAATCATTTATAAAAGTTGATATGCACAAACCATATGCTGTCTAGCTGTTGTGGTTAAAAAAAAATAACAACCCCAAACCAAAAAACAAACAAACAAAAAACTACCCACAGTGCAAGGATCTGGGGTCCAGTGCTGGCTTGCAGGGAAAGTTGCATCTTCTCTGGAGACCTTGAGGATCTTGTCTGAAAAATGGGTGATTGAACAAGAAGAAGAGGTAGCTCTCTCTTCTCTCTTTTTTTCCAAAGAGAGGAAAGCTATTCCTCATAGAGCAATAACTCTGATTCTCTGCATACAGAAATCCAAGCTGCAACCGTACCAGACGAGGAAGAGTTTACCCTGGCAGAGGGCCAGACCCTGGAAGTGAGCTGTCCTGTCACCTTGCACACATATTCCAACAGCCGGAAGGCCTGGCAAAGGGTGAAAGATAAAGGGGAGGTCCAGATGCTGGCACTCACACAGAGGGTCTCGGGGGAATTCAGTGAAGTCCAGAATGGGCGTTACTTCCTAAAAGACATCCCCTCTGAGGGCATACTGCATGTCCGAATGACCGACCTTCGAGTGGAGGACTCAGGACTGTATCGATGTGTGATCTACCTAAATTCCGAGAACTCCATCATGTTATTCCACCCTATCCGCCTGGTGGTGACCAAGAGTGAGTGACCTGGGGGCTTGGGGGTAGAGGGTAGGGAGAACCAGGCCAGGTAGGGGTGGAGCAGTGGTGGTGATACCGACAGGGCTGTGGCTCAGGACTTCTAGAAGCCTGTGCTCTTCCAGAAGCTCCTTGTCCCTCATTGGAGGTCCTTGAGAGTCATTTGGTCCAACAGTAAGAAGTGGCTTCTTTGTATGGGATTCCTCTTGGGGAGCAGAGCCTACTGTGTTGTGCTGTTGTAGGAAGTGGGGTACAGTGAAAGGTGAGAGGTAGACTTGGGACAATTTAGTGTCCCAAGTCATTTCCTTGGGAAGCCTCTGGGATTCACTCTCCCTGCCCCCAAGGAGGCATTTGCTGGCCTCCTGTGTGCATCCAAAGCAGTGCCCCTCAGACCCCGCTGTGGGCAAGAACAACCTGGGATCTTACTTCAAATGCAGACTCCGATGGAGCAGGTCTAGCGTGGGACCTAGATTCTGTGTTTCTGATCTGTTCACAGGTGATGCAGATGCTGTGGGTCCATGGCTCCGTTTTGGGTAGCAGAGCTCCAGAGCTCACTTTGTATCCCTTTCATGGACAACACTAACTCCCTGGGTTAAGTAGTGGCCAGTTTTCTTATCTGTCTCCCCCTGCTCATCCCTGAGAATCTTGAGGGAAAGGCCTGTGCCTTGCTCGGCTCTGTATCCCTAGCAATTAATGAGGTGCCTGGCACATAGTAGGGCCTCCCTAGATGTTGACTGGATGAATTAAGGAAGGCAGAGTAGAGGCAGGCAGGTTCAGGTTCCTAGCACCTGTGGAATTCAATGCCTAAGGAAGACAAGATACTTATGCAGTATATTAATAAAAGGTAACCTGTAAAGCAATATGCCACAGGTACCGGTGACTGCAAGGCAGAGAGAAAGCAGTAAGGTACAGTAATCAGGGAATTATTCTGGAAGGAGGAGGGGCATATGGGTTAGAGTAGATAAAGAATAGCAGGCAAGTGCATTTCCAGTGACACAAAAAGCCTGGAAATTCTTGTCTGCTTCCCTCTTTCCCTCCCTCTCTCCCTCCTTCCCACCCTTCTTCCTTTCTTCCCTCTCTCCTCTCTCTCCCTTCCTTGTTTCCTTTTTCCTGTCTTTGGCCCAGGTGGACACCACATTATTTCTTTCAAATTGGCGAAAGAAAACCTTGCTTCATGAATGGCCATGTTCATTTCCCTCCTCAGTCCCATTTACCCTACTGCTCAACCTCCATCCTTCCATCACTCCATCCAGTGTGCCTTCTTACAGATCCCTCTGGCACTCCTGCCTCAGATGACAGAACTACCCAGATCGTGACTCCGACTCCCACCCGTCCTCCTTTCATCACCAAGGCCTGGAGTAAGCTCCCCACCAGCCCCACGGCCGTGACCCGTCTCCCCTCGTCAACTGCCAGCCTCTCCTCTCCTGGCCTCGGAGTCACCCCCACAAATGTGACAGATGTCCCCAGGTACGGTTTCAGGTCTCCGGGCCCCTGGTTTGGACACCCAAAAGGATAAAGAATATGGGGAGTGAGGGAGGGGGGAGGGCAGGGGTGAACTGGAGTCACCTCCATCTGGTGGACCTTCCCAGGGGAGGAAGGAGGTAGTGCTGGAGTGAGGAGGACACTCTTGGAGGCCCTGATGAGGCTGTGACTCTCCCCAGTTCCCCTCTGTGTTTGCTCTTGCCGGCCGGTGGAGGCGGGAGAGGAAGATGGCATCTTGGTTGAATTCCAAGGGCCCTCGGCCGACCCCTAACGGTTTTCTGGAAAAAGGGATCCTGGATTTTAATGCCAGCCAGACTGAAAGTGGAATTTGGGGCGAGTTAGAAACCCTTTCAGGCTGCAGTTTCCTTGTCTGTGCAGTAGGAGGGGCTAGAAAAACCAGAGCTGGGAATGATAATGTAGCCCAACAGCTCTCAGCAGCTGCTGCACGTTAGGGTTCCCTGGTGTGTCAGCTTCTGCTTTGTTTGGTTTGTTCTTAATACTGATACACGTGCCCTACTACCGGCCAACAGAATGAGAGTTTCGGGAGGCGGGGCCGGTCTCAGTATGTTTTATTACTTTATAAGATCTTCGGATTTCTTAATGTGCAAGCAAAGCTAAGAACCACTAACTCTGCATGCATACTCCTCTATATAGCTCATTATTAAATGTTGATTTATCTTAGAATGTGTTTATCATTAAATACTGAATTAACAGAAAAAGAAATATTCTTCCATATCCTTGCGAATCTAACAAGTCTTTTTCTTCTGTCCTCTCTTTTAGTCTTTCTGTATGTTTATACATATTTTAACATGGCAGTAATTCTAAGTGTACACATTTGCATTGTTTTTCTATGCTAAAACTATTCTTCAGTGTTACCACCTAGTCTTTGTAATTCTGACTTCAACAAATGCATACTTTTCTATCGCATAATCATTTGTCTGTTTTTAGACATTGAGATTATGTTCATTTTTGGACAGTACTGATAAATCTGAGATGGACATATTTTTTCAGATGTCTTTTTTTTCTTTTAAATGGTTCATTTTGATGGGGGGTAGGTAGCTAACGTTTGTTTGTTTGTTGAATGGAATTACTGGGGATCGAACCCAGGATCTTGTGCATGCTAAGCACACGCCCTACCACTGAGCTACACCCTCTCCGCCGAACAGTTTATTCAAAAGAAATTCCCTGAAGAGAATTTGAACACTTACATTGCTCTGTGTACATACTGCCACATGGTCTCTCAAAGATGGGAAACCGTTTGCAGTGGGATTTGTAATACTTAAGGAGGGGACAGTGTCACTGTGGGCCTGCCTACCAGGATTTACTACTTTAAAAATATTCCTGCTGAAACAGATGTGAGCTGGGAACTGCTTTACTCTCTCTATTACAGTGGACTCAGAGCTCTGTAAGGGTAGAGGCAGTGCCCTTGCCCCCTTATGCTGTGCCTAAGTGCCTGGCACACAGTAGGTGCTCCTTAAATCTTTATGGACTAACTAAATAAAACAAACGATCTGGTGAAAGTCAGCTTGTTTCTTTTTCCCACTACTTTTATTTTTCCGCATGTAAACCAAGAGTCCATCATCTTTGCCCACATTCCTAGTAAAGGCTGCACTCCCTTCACCTGGCTGCTTCATCTGTTAACTAACATGAACTAGTCTATGAGTCAGAGACCCATTGGGAAAGCAAAGCAGAAGCCACTGAGCTGTCTGGAAAAGAGGTAATTGAGTGGAGGGCGCAGTTCATCCGAGCGACAGAAGAGCTGAGATGCCAATTTGGGGATGGAGGACGAGGCATCTCCAAGGAAGCCACTGTCACCCTGTCTTACTGTGGTGTCTTCTGACACAGGCTGTGGGTAAAATCTTGTGCAGATGTTTTAGGACGTGATCGCAGGCAAAACCGTTGGGGAAGTGGGACCGGGGAGGGAAGGAAACCCAGCAAAGGATGTGGTAACCAAAGCGAGTCCCCCAGGGAGCAGTCCGACTCAGTCCTGTGGGGGGTTCTGGGGACCACAGGCGTCTTCTGTATCAGGGGCTGGGGAGCTGGAGTACTTCTTTCTCCCCGATGCCTCTTCTAGACCTGCACCCCATGCTCTTTATGGAGAAGATTTCTAATCAGTATTTTTAGGCGATGGGACAAACTAAGTGCACAGGGCCAGTTAGTACAGGGAAATGAAGGACGAGAGCAGAGGAGTTAAGGGGCGTGAAGGACTTTTGCAAACAGGTGTGTGGAGCACCCAAGCTGGCAGCAGCACTGAGTCTCCTCTCTCTCCCAGGGTCTCCAGGATCAGCATTGTCATTCCCGTGGTGTGTGGACTCCTGAGTAAGAGCCTGGTCTTCATTGTTCTGTTTGCTGTCACGCAGAGGTCATTTGCGCCCTAGGCCCAGGACTCCACGAGAATGACCTGGGACCTGATCCACATCCATCTAGCAGTTGTGCCCGAAGAGGAGTATGTGTGTGGGGTGAGGGGGCGGTGCACCATGTCATGCATTGAATCTGTAACACAGGTGATTTCTAAGGCTTGGGATCCTACCTTCTTGGCACTGCTAACTCCCCTCATTTCACCGATAACCTTGAGTGTGTGCTTGGCCCCCTCCGAGGAGAAGAGATAGCCACAAATATGTCCATTCCTCCAGCGGCTCAGGGTTTGCATTCAATAAAGACACTTCCGGATGCTATGCACTGTCGCTGTCTTGTGCGGGGTCGTGAGGCACAGAGGGCGCAGCTGCTAACTCTGCCCAGGTCCTCGCTCTAGACCACAACATTTTGGCCCGAGTTCCCACCACAGAAGCATCCTGTTCTCCTGGCTGCCAGGACCGTCCTCTTCTCTAGAATCAGACGTTCAGGTTTCTCCCCTTCGTTTGTGGCCCTTTCCGACACTCCCAGAACAGAGTGTTGAAAATCATGGAACCAGGAGAAGATAAGATGCTACGGTGAGAATCCATATTTGGGAAAGAGGAACGGAGATAACCAGAACGTTGTGTCTTGGGAAAATACTGGGAGGATGAGCTAGGATCCAAGGCGTAGGACTGACAGAGAGCATCATTTATCTACCGTGTGCATTTATCGTGTGCATCACCGGGGTGCGTCTTGTCACTGGGTCCTTAGGACAACCCCATGAAGGCAGAGAAGTGTGCGACTGGGAGTAAGTCACCTCTACTGGCAGGAACAAACACTGGAGCTCCTTTACTGAAGACCAAGTCCCTCAAAGCCCTACAGAACAGATAGCAAGGAGTTCGCCTCTATGTAAATGCCTCTTTGTTGTATCACACGAGGGGCAAGGACGGTGGGTGCCCAGGTCTCACCAGTCAGGCTCCTGGAGGCTGTCCCCTTTGTGCACTGCTAGTTCTGTGCACTGCCTTCCTCCTCCTCTCTCTCTGCCCCTACGACTCCCCTTTCGCTCCCAAGCTCACCCATGAAATAGGTGTCCAAGGCCCACCGACAGATTTAAATCAGTGGTTTCTGAGTTTCTACCTCTTTTGGCTCTAAAGGGGAAGGGGCCCCATTAGTGGGAAGAGATGATGGCCAAGGCCAATTTCATCCTAAATTCTCCAAGAGCAAACACACTCTACCACCCACAATCCATCTTGTGATAGGAAAACATGTTTCTACAATCGGCATGCCCTTCTTCAACTCCTGTGGAACAAGTGCCCTGAGTGCTGAGGTACAGCCCTCCCCTCCCTGAGTCCACTGCCATCATCCAAGGACTTCCCTGTCAACCTGAGGACCTCTCGGCTCAGCCCTCCGGGAGGATGGCGCTGACCCCTGAGACATTGTGTCTGATTGCCCAGCTGAGTCCATTAGAAGGTAGTGAAGGGAATTCATGTCATCCCGGCACCCTGGGGAGAGACTTCTGAGAAGCACTTATCCGGAAGCTGTTCATCTCAGTGCATCTTCTTCCTGCCCAGGAGAACCCAGCCGCGTGGAGGTAGTAAATGCACTGCGTGCAGCGTTTGCTTTCTGAGGTTGCTCGTTGGGGACCTGCACTTTAGCGCTTCCAAAGCTGCCCCTGTTTGTGACGTTGACCCAAAAGGGCAGGGCAAGGGAGGGACCGCAGTTGAATGGGCAGTGTTTCCCAAACTGTAGTCCTCAGACCAGCCGCATCAGATTCTCTGGGGCGTTTGTTTAAAATGCAGATGCCTGGGGCCCCTCCAGATCTACTTAATCATAGCCTGCAGCTGTCTCTTGGTGGTTCTCAAGCTTGTTTGGGAGACAAGATTCCAAGAAGCCATTATGCTCCTTTCCAAACACCACGACACATTGCTATATTCATCCTGAGTTAACCAGCTGCGTGATTTGGTGGGCTTGTGTGCTAAATTTAATTACAGATGAAGTAACACAAGTCCAATGTATTAAGCTTGCCTGAGGGCTTAGATACAGTAAAGCGGAAGACAGACGGTTGTGCTGGATGCTCTCCCGTTTGCACCTGCAGGCCCACTCTCCATCCTTCTCCTCCCTGATCTGTAGCTGGGAACCTGACCAACGTGGGCTAAGTCAGCAGGCTCCCTTGCCCACCAGCTCCTGGGGGTTAGCCGGTGGGCAGCATGAAAGAAGAGCGGGGATGGGAAGAGAATGAGATCAGAGATTTTATCCTCCGGGCTCCCTCACTGGGGCGGCACGAGGGGCTGCATTCCTCTACTCAAGGCCCCTCTAAGCCCCTCACCAAAGTGCTGCTATCTCCAAGTTCAGGCAGCCGTTCCAGTCCCTTGCTCCATGCGGCCTACAGGCGGTAATGCCTCACCGCTGTCTCCAGGGCCTGCAGCATGCCTTCCTGGTTCCCCCAGTTCCACTTGTGCTTTCATTAAACGCTTCTCAGTTACCTGTTCCAGTGAGCCGCCTGTTTCTTGCTGGGACCTTTCCCTATACAACAGTGTCATGTGGTTAGTTACCCAGGACTTGGAATTAAACAGCGCCCAGGTTTGAATCCCAGCTCTGCAACATCCTTGAAATATGTCCGATCTTGAGTAAATTCAGTTAATTCCGCTAGACCTCAGCCGAGAGAGATTCCTCATTGCCTTAAAGGGCAGAATAGTCAGCACCAGTCATGATTCTTGATGCTACCAATTGAATCCAGTTCTGGCATCTTAACTGCAGAGGAATTTAGAAGACTATCAGTAGCTCACAGAGCTGATGGCAGTGCTGAAGGACCAGGTTTAGAAAACAGCAGACACCAAGTTACAGCTTGAGACGTCCAGTGATGGAGCCGTGGTCACTGCCCCTGCCCACTGGAAGCCTCCAAGTACTTTGTCACCATACTATTCCTGGACTCTCAGGACTTAAACTGCCTCTGGGGAATTCATCTCTAACTGGCCCTTCATCTCGTACCGCACCCTTAGGATCCAGAATCAGGGGCAGAATCATGCATTTGGCCAAGCTTAGGTCAAGTCACTGGCCCGTACCATAGATGCTCGGGAGAAGGGGCAGGAGAAATTCTGCCTCTGTGCTCAGTAGAAGGGGAAGTAGAACTCTGTGTCCTCAGGACACCTGCACATTGGGGCACATGCCCCAGATGGAAAAGGTACTGGGTACCAGAGAGCCAAAGGATGATGAATATCCATTACCCAATCCCCAAACTGATAGAATTAAATGAGATAACCCAAGTAAAGCATCTGGCGCACAGTAGGACTTCAATCCGTGGCAGTCACTCCTGGTACTATTCTAACCGTGGTCTCCAGGCTCAGGCCCGGACTGGGAGCTCGGGGAAGCACAGCCCTCACGCACAGGCAGCACCCCTGAGGAATGCTTCAGGGCCCACCTGATTCACACAGAGCTTTCACAGGCGTTGCCTGTTTGGCCCACTTGCCTCAGAATCACCTAGGCTGCTTGTTAAAGTGCAGAATCTTTGGGGGTGGAGCCCAGGCAGGTGTACGCTTGCCAGGCTTCCTGAGTGATTCAGCCACACGCTCATCCTCGAGAACTGTGGTGTGGAGGAAGATGAGAGATGGCGGGCCATCAGGAAGGTTTACCCCGGGCCTCGGAGGGCACGTCAGATCTGCGGGACACAGTGTCAGGCAGGCAGGGAGAACGGCAGGAGGGGTTGCGGGAGGTAGTGGTCAGTGGCCAGTGACGAGAATGTCTTGGTGACCCAAGGAACTGAGTGGAGCAGGGGTGGGACATCGGGTGGCTGGGTGTAGGCTTGCTCCGGTGGAGAATGGGGAGCTTCCGAGCGTTGCCCAATGGGGCTGTGACTTGACGAAATCAGGAAGGAAGATGTCACAAGGGCAGTGATCTCCCTTTTCTCTTCCTTCTTTTTCTGCATTTTCCTGAGCTGCTCCCTCTCGCCACATTTCCCTCAGGGTTTCTCAATTGCCAAGTGACAACCACGCCTCTCAGGGAAGACGGAAAACATCCAAGTGGGGCAACATCCTGTAGCCAGTGGAAGAAGTGCTGGAGTGGCTGGCACCTGTGGGTCCAGGGAACAGGATGGAGCGGAGGAGAGGGGCTCTGGGGGTGGTCATGGTGTGTTTGTGTGTGTGTGTGTGTGTGTGTGTGCACGAGTGGGCAATATACACACATGGAACTGGGGCTGACGTGGACAGATCATTTTCAGTTCCTGCCCTTTTCAGTTCTCACTCCTCAGGTGAGGCAGCCTCCCGAGGGGTCCCCAGGACAGGACACACCCAGGGAAGTAGCAGACTCGCCTTTCTAACCGGGTCTAACATCTGCCTGGTTCACTCGCTGAGTATGAATTAAATAAAATCTTTAAGATCACTCCTCCCAGCAGAATTTGAGGATTCGTTCATTCCCACATTCTCATGGAAACTGAGTCTTATCCAACTTTCCCATTCCTGCCAATCTGATGAGTACAAAGCAACATCTCAGTGTTTTAAAATCAATATTTCTCTGGTAACTAATGAGGCCAAACCTCTCCTCATGGGCTTACTAGGTATCTGGATCTTTACTGCACTGTATCGCCTACTTCTGTCCATTTTCCTGCTGGCTTTCCTTTCTCCTGCTGGCTGACTTTTAATAACCCCTTGGTTCGCTTAGATGTTAATCTATGGTCAGTTTTAGACATTTCTCTCAGTCTCTCATCTGTTACTTGTCAAGCGCACACAAGACAAAGGCAAGGCCAAGGCCTGACTGATTCTCCCAAGAAAGATACAATCAGCCGCTTTCAGATTTAGACAGTTTGTTACTTACATAGGCAGCGATGGGCAGATCAACCAAAGGTGCTGGCTTCCGTGGTCCTCGTCCCACACGCCGGAACAGCAGGGGCCAGACAACTGCGCCGGGAGTTGTGCAACACCCCCAGCTGAGGACCCGGTCCCGACCGCTGCTCAGTGGTCGTAGAGACTGCAGCTCCGTCCTGAGATCTGGCCCAACACGAGAGGTGGTGAGAAACCGTCTCCCGGGGAAGATGGGGAGGTGAGTGGGAGGTGCTCGCACAGGCCTCTCAGTCTCTGTCATTCCAGGAAAATCAAAGGGCTTTCTTGCCATGACTCAGATTAGCTGTAGTTCAAGCCTTCACCTGTGTGGCTTCTGTGCACGCAAGATGGCCAGGCTGTCCTTGTGGCACTTTTGTCCCCAGTATCCTTTGTTTGAAAAATAAGTTTATGTCATGAACTGAAACCATCTCTAACCACCATCCGTCTTGACCCTGAGAACTGAAACCACACGTCACTGTCTGTATCAACATGGTGTTGCTAGTGCCCCATCCTTGTTGGTGTCACTTTATTTTCCTAGAGTTTTCTTGCCCCGGCAAATGATTAGATGGTTCATTATAAAAACTTCCTGGAAGACTCACTATCTCTTCAAAGGAAAGTATCAAGGGATAGTTTGCACCCTAAGATTCTTCGAATCCCTGCCTCAGAATCCTGCTGTTTCTACCAATCCTGGACTATTGTGTTGTAATCCTTCTTCAGTCTTACTCCAGCCCCTTCTTTGAAAGACTTGCCTTGAACCAAACCTCACAGTACGTTGTGACCTTGCCTCCCTCAAAGGCACACAGCTCTGTCGGAGTGGCATCCTCCCTGACCACCACGAGCAATAAACTCAGGTTGTGTGGGCGATGCTCGGGAAGCCAGTGTTCAGCAATGTCATTAAGTCCATCCATTTCCCCTTCATGACTTAAGGTTTTGGGATGTTTTTCCCAATCTGAAGCATAATAATAATCTAAATATTGTCTTTCAGACAATGTATGGAGATATTCTCACACATTACCTTCTATTAGCCTGACAGTTTTTAAAAATATTTTATTTATCTATTTTGGGTTTTTTTTTTTTGGAAGGGGAGGTAATGAGGTATATTTATTTATTTTAATGGAAGTCCTGGGGACTAAACCCAGGAATATACCTTCCTACCTAGCTTTACAGTGTTGACACACACAGGGCACAACCAAGAAATCCAGCCCTTAGGAGGGGGCAGGGTCTTGTTAAAATCCACCTCCATCTAGACCTGTGCTAGTTCTCTAGCCTTTGAACACACGTGCCTATCTGCACGTGAAGTTAATTAAAAGCAGATGAAAAATAAGAATCTGTTTCCTCGGTTGCACTTGCCACAGAGCTGAACAACCCTACGTGGCGAGTGGCTATTGTGTTGGACAGAAAGATACAGAACATCTCCATCATCATGGGAAATTCTGTGGGACAGCACTGCTTTCTATATTTCTGTTTCAACATAACTATCCGGCTAACAGAGCTTTCAGTTCCTTGTTATAAATTTAGCTTCTTATTAATACAGATTAAAACTTTCTATAGCACATGGCACTTTCACACCTGAGCAGTTTGATTTATAGTTTCCATTTAACAAAAGCAGATTTTCCTCTTAAAGAGAGAATCACACATCTGATTTTTTATTTTCCTTTCTCAAAGAAAGTGTTTATATTATGTTGGTGCCTCAGTCCTTTTGGCCTATTCCTCCCAAGTCTCCTCCAAAGTCTCCCTGTCCCTGCATGTCTACTTGGATGGATGACAGGGACACACTGCCAAAGGCCAGGGTGCACTGCAGGCTGCTCAGTGGTGGGCAAAGCGCTGGGTGTGTGTTGGAGAACAGGGTTCAAATGCCCAGCTCGGCTGTGACATCTGTCTGTGGCGTCTGGAAACATGGGCAAGTCACTGGCCTGCTTGGCATCTCAGCCTCCACGAGGAAAAAGGCAGGAGGCTGGAGATGTGCTGCGTGGTCCCCTCCCCATCTGATCAAGCGTGTGCGTGACGCTGATGCAAGGTTGAGCAAAGCAGGGCTCACACAGTTCAGTGAGAGAGGCTGGCTTGGCCCTGAGGGGTCTCACAGGCTGTCTGGAGAGGATGGAAGAATGTCCACAACAGGGTAGTGACAGAACACAGCCCAGGAGCAGGGCCCAGGATGCTCCAGGGGGCTCACGCTGGCTGCAGGCTGGAGTCCTCTGCACCAGCTTCTTGCGAGAGGGCCCCCTTGTGATCCCACACAAGTGAGGCTAGTTGGGGAGCAGCCCTGGGAGGCATTTTCATTCCAGGGGCTGGGGAAGGGGACAAGCCCCAGCACAGTCACACTGGGGGATAGAGACAGGGTGGGCACAGATTATGGGGGCTTAACGCAGGCCCACACCTCTAACTGAGCCAAGAAGTCCAGTTAATGCAGGGCAGCTGAGTGCTCTCATGAGACCCGTGGTGAGGACAGGCGGTCCAGGGCAGGAAGCGGCTGTAGACCCCTCCCCACCCTCCCCTCTTCTCCAGGCTGCCTCCGGCTGCCTAGTGACAGTGTGGGCTTCAGGCCTCCCCTACATTTCCTCAGAAACTCCAGCTTCCCACTCCTCTCTCCTGTTGTCCCCCTTCTCCCTGGGGCTCCCGAGGGCCCGGATCCACAGCAGGACGAGGACAGGGAGATTTCTGCTCATTTTAGGGAGG